TAAATCGCATGCGATATTTAATGCGCATCTTGTCAGAAAGCCGGTTCTGTAATCAGCGGTAAATCTCCACCTGCGTGCTTTCACATTGAGCAGCATTAACTACACAGAGCCGTTGTTCACTGACGAGCTGCGCAAAAAATCACGTGAATATGAACGTGGTTTTGCGCAACTCGTCAGTGAACAACAGCTCTGTGTAGTTAATGCTGCTCAATGTGAAAGCCCGCAGGTGATGGAGATTTACCGCTGATTACAGAACCGTCTTTACTGACAAGATGCGCATTAAATATCACATGCGATTTATCGTGCAGCCCTAATGCTTGGCATGGCTTTGTTCTAACAATGTACATTCATTCTCTTTACATGCAGGTCATGAGCCGGGGTTTTGCATGATGTGTACCATGCAAAATCACATCATCCAAGTGTTCGCCAACTCTGGAAATGTCATTAAGCCTATCAGTGTGCTTAATGAGCTAAAACGTGAGTGCTCAGTTTAAGATGTAACATTTGCTTAAAAATCGTGACAAAATTACAACTTACCCCGCTATACTAGTAATATAACACTCAAGTGCTACATAAACCCTTTTAGTGCTAGATAAGAGTTGAGGGTTTTGACAAGATAATTATTAAGGTTAAACCTTGAAGTTTGTATAAAAACAAGCAACACAGCCACAGTGCTTTTTTGCTGGAGTTAAGCGATAAAGAATGGTCCAGGATGATTTATAACCTGGACCACTGATCTTTTGTTCTTATCCTCAGGGATTGGAAAGCATTTCAGATTTGGAAGTCAAGAAGATGCTCATGAGTTCTTGAGGTACACAGTGGATGCTATGCAAAAGTCCTGCCTGCCTGGAAACAAGTGAGTTCCCACAATGCAGTTTTGTTTGCCAGTTTACTAGCATTATAAGGCAAGAAATAAACATTTCTTCATTCATCAGTGCATTAACTGTAATGACTGCAAACTTATATCCAGTCTAATACTTCATTATTTTGATTAATTGTCAGATTGGACAGGCAGACTCAGGCAACCACTTTTGTACATCAGATATTTGGGGGTTATCTGAGATCCAGAGGTAGGTCATCAGATTTTTGTTTGTTTTGATTTGGTTTAAGGTTAATCTTATTCTTTCTGAATAACATGTTGCAAAAATTGTCTATAAATAGACACCTTTAAATTTAGTGTCTAGAAGTTTGATTAATTTTCTATGTATGCTTTATAGAATTTGTGCAATGATGGAATATTTAATCTATGCTCCAGATACATCTGTTGGTACAATGTTAATGCACATTTCTTTTTCAAGTCAAGTCACCTTTATTTATATAGTACTTTATACAATACAGATTGTGTCAAAGCAGCTTTACAGTGTTATTATATAGCGCTTTATTCAATACAGATTGTGTCACAGCAGCTTTACAGTTTTAAACAGGAAAACGTGTGCTGGTAATGCAAGAGGACAGTAGAAAACAGTCAGTTTATCAGTTAAAGTCAGTTCATTGTTGATTCAGTGATGTCATCTTCCAGCTCAGTTCAGTTTTCTTCCAATAGTGTCTGTGCAGTCAAGTCATCAGTGTTGCCAGAAATTGTGTCCCCAACTAAGCAAGCCAAAGGCGACAGTGGCAAGGATCCAAAACTCCATCGGTGACAGAAATGGAGAAAACAAACCTTGGTAGAAACCAGGCTCAGTCGGGGGGCCAGTTCTCTTCTGGCCAGACGAAACCAGCATGGTGTGGTTTAATTCCAGGCTCCAACCAGAGGACTCATCTGGTTCTCGTGGTCTTGTGCCGATGGCCGACGAGGTCTTCACAGAGGATCTGTCTTTAGGGTTCGTCTAGTTGACATGGTCTCAGCTGACTTTCAGGGCTGTAGAGGTCGTCTCTAGGTGCTGATCCACCATCTGGTCTGGATACGGACTGGACCCAGGTGACTGCAGTGGTCTCTTTGTTCTCATTTAATTAAATGTAGGATTAATTTATAAAACCCTGTCGACCCTTTCTGGGTTTATTTTGTGATAGTACTGGCTGACTAGAAATGTTCCCTTATTTGTGACCTATCATATGTTTTGGTGTGAGGAAATGTTTATGGAAACACATTTCAAAGTATTTTGAAGTGGTTTCTTCTTTATTTTAGTAGTTTTTTTTTGTTGCTTTTTTTAAATTAACTTTTTGAAGGAATAGCTATCACCCTCATTTCTGTCAATCAACTGCATCTTAACTGGGTGGAACAAGCTTTCACATTGAGCAGCATTAACTACACAGAGCCGTTGTTCACTGACGAGCTGCGCAAAAAATCACGTGAATATGAACGTGGTTTTGCGCAACTCGTCAGTGAACAACAGCTCTGTGTAGTTAATGCTGCTCAATGTGAAAGCCCGCAGGTGATGGAGATTTACCGCTGATTACAGAACCGTCTTTACTGACAAGATGCGCATTAAATATCACATGCGATTTATCGTGCAGCCCTAATGCTTGGCATGGCTTTGTTCTAACAATGTACATTCATTCTCTTTACATGCAGGTCATGAGCCGGGGTTTTGCATGATGTGTACCATGCAAAATCACATCATCCAAGTATTCGCCAACTCTGGAAACGTCATTAAGCCTATCAGTGTGCTTAATGAGCTAAAACGTGAGTGCTCAGTTTAAGATGTAACATTTGCTTAAAAATCGTGACAAAATTACAACTTACCCCGCTATACTAGTAATATAACACTCAAGTGCTACATAAACCCTTTTAGTGCTAGATAAGAGTTGAGGGTTTTGACAAGATAATTATTAAGGTTAAACCTTGAAGTTTGTATAAAAACAAGCAACACAGCCACAGTGCTTTTTTGCTGGAGTTAAGCGATAAAGAATGGTCCAGGATGATTTATAACCTGGACCACTGATCTTTTGTTCTTATCCTCAGGGATTGGAAAGCATTTCAGATTTGGAAGTCAAGAAGATGCTCATGAGTTCTTGAGGTACACAGTGGATGCTATGCAAAAGTCCTGCCTGCCTGGAAACAAGTGAGTTCACACAATGCAATTTTGTTTGCCAGTTTACTAGCATTATAAGGCATGAAATAAGCATTTCATCATTCATCAGTGCATTAACTGTAATGACTGCATGCTTATATCCAGTCTAATACTGAATTATTGTCATTTATTGTCAGATTGGACAGGCAAACTCAGGCAACCACTTTTGTACATCAGATATTTGGGGGTTATCTGAGATCCAGAGGTAGGTCATCAGATTTTTGTTTGTTTTGATTTGGTTTAAGGTTAATCTTATTCTTTCTGAATAACATGTTGCAAAAATTGTCTATAAATAGACACCTTTAAATTTAGTGTCTAGAAGTTTGATTAATTTTCTATGTATGCTTTATAGAATTTGTGCAATGATGGAATATTTAATCTAGATACATCATACATCTGTTGGTACAATGTTAATGCACATTTCTTTTTCAAGTCAAGTCACCTTTATTTACTTTATACATTATACAATACAGATTGTGTCAAAGCAGCTTTACAGTGTTAAACAGGAAAAACGTGTGCTGATAATGCAAGAGCACAATAGAAAACAGTCAGTTTATCAGTTAAAGTCAGTTCATTGTTGATTCGGTGATGTCATCGTCCAGCTCAGTTCAGTTCTCTTCCAATAGCGTCTGTGCAGTCAAGTCAACAGTGTTGCCAGAAATTGTGTCCCCAACTAAGCAAGCCAAAGGCGACAGTGGCAAGGATCCAAAACTCCATCGGTGACAGAAATGGAGAAAACAAACCTTGGTAGAAACCAGGCTCAGTCGGGGGGCCAGTTCTCTTCTGGCCAGACGAAACCAGCATGGTGTGGTTTAATTCCAGGCTCCAACCAGAGGACTCATCTGGTTCTCGTGGTCTTGTGCCGATGGCCGACGAAGTCTTCACAGGGGATCTGTCTCTAGGGTTCGTCTAGTTGACATGGTCTCCGCTGACATTCAGGGCTGTAGAGGTCGTCTCTAGGTGCTGATCCACCATCTGGAC